TTCATTTTTTAAAAACACTAATCAGCTTTTGTTAGTGTTTATGTGTTTAATGTGTGGCCCAAGCAAGACAACTCTTTTACCAGTGTGCAACAGAAAAAAAAAATTGGATGCCCCTACCCCATTGATGCAAACTGGAGGGAAAGTATTTATATCAGTCCAAAGGGGAGAAAAATGTTAGATTTGCTTGTAACAATGACAGCAAAATTGTGGAAGAAGTAGCATCAATTAGTATTTGTTTGCTTAGAGTCAAGGTGTTAAATCATTAAAACAAATTAAAACCTTCATTTTACAAGGTGGGAGGATCGCTTGAGCTGGAGTTCAAGGCCAGCCTGAGCAAGAGCAAGACCCCGTCTGTAAAAAATAGCTGGGCATTGTGGTGGGTGCCTGTGGTCCCAGCTTCTGGCAAGGCTAAGGCAAGAGGATAGCTTGAGCCCAAGAGTTTGAGGTTGCTGTGAGATATGACACCAGGGGCAAGAGAGACTGTCTGAAAAAAACAAAGCAAAACTAAAAGGCCCCTTCATTTTAAAAGAAATTGAATACAAAGTGAAAATCCAGTTTGCTGTTGGTAATTTCAAGTTTTAATTACAAATCCATACCTGGATAGGGTGGGATTGGACAACCCTGAAATTTATATTAGTAATAGTCATAATAATAATACAATAAGTCCTTCAAAAGTGTTCCTTCTTACTGTTATAGGGATTTGTTAGCTTATACATTTATTTATTTTAATATGGTTATTTTTAAACCCTCTTTATATTTAGAATGTATAAGCATACACTTCTATGTGACTCAGAAATCTCAGAATGCATCTTTTTTTTTTTTTTCAAGACAGGATATCACTATGTCACCTTTGATAGAGTGCTGTGGTATCATATCTCACAGCAACCTCAAACTCTTGGGTTCAAGCAATTCTCTTGCCTCAGCCTCCCGAGTAGCTGGGACTACAGGCATCCACCATAACACTGGCTATTTTTTGGTTGTAGTTGTCATTGTTTGGCAGGCCTGGGCTGGGTTTGAACCTCCCCAGCCTTGGTGTATGTGGCTGGTGCCCTAGCTGCTGTGCTATATATAGGTGCTGAGCCTCAAAATGCATCTTAAAACTGACCAGATTGCTATCTGAGAAGATGAATGGGCTTAAAGATTATCCCTTTTTCCTCATGAAATAAGATTAAATGTTTGCTGCCAGAGTGAAAGAAAAAGTGTCTGTGAAACCTGTCTTTAGAAATTATTTAATAAAACATAAAATAGAAGAGGAAGATGTAAGGGAAGAGTTTAGGTTTATATTATGGACATGAAGCTCTTCACATGGGAGATAAACACTGGCCCGAGAGCATCCTCTAGAAAGGAGACTGTCAGTAATCGAGTGCAACAGATGACCAGTTCTCCAGATGTCAGCTAGACACCTCCCGAGTCACCCTGTTGCTGGCTTAGTGAGCCTGTGTGCAAAGCAGCCCCAGATGCAGGAATGGAAATTATCCTTGAACTCAGTAACCTGGACATCGCCTCACTAATGTTCAGCTGTGGCCACTGTTGAGTGTCAAACCTGCCAACAACAGGAGTCAACTTGGAGCCCACAATATGACGTGAGTTCCCAGGAGGACCATCCATGCGTCTGATACCTGGTTGATTATATTAGATTCCATTATGAAGGGGATTGCACCTTTTCCTCAGGGAAAACAGTTCCATGTTCTGAGTCTGGATTTGCTTTCCTCATCTACAAATCTGCCAGCTTTGTGGACTTGCAGAATATCTTTTTTATATTTATTTTTTATTTATTTTTGAGACAGAGTCTCAAGCTGTCACCCTGGGTAGAGTGCCACAGAGTCACAGCTCACAGCAACCTCAAACTCTTGGGCCTAAGCGATTCTCTTGCCTCAGCCTCCCAGGTAGCTGGGACTACAGGCACTGCCACAACACCCAGCTATTTTTGTTGTTGCAATTGTCATTGTTGCTTTAGCTGGCCCAGGCCAGGTTCGAACCCACCAGCCTTGGTGTATATGGCCAGCACCCTACCCACTGAGCCATGGGCACCACCTAGAATATCCTATTCATTGCTATGACATCAACACAACATTGCCTCATCCAAGGCATGGACTTTATGGTGAAAGTAGTGTGGCAGTTTGCTCACTTCCATCAAGTCTCACTGTCCAGAGGCAGATGGCCTGATAGAATGTGGCATGGCCAGCAAAAGTCTCAATTTTAACACTAGTTTAGAGACCATTCCCTGAAAGGTTGAGGTTCTGTCCTATGGTATATCATCTATTCCTTGAATCAGTGACCCATGTGAAACATCCTTTCTTTCAAAGCTAAAACACACAGTTTTTTAAAAAGTAAGGTTGGTGTGGGAATGTTCCTGCTGACTATTACATCTAATCACTCCTTATGAAATGTTTGCTTGCCATTGTTATAACCTTGGGTTCCGTGGGTCTGGGAAGAATCCTTCTTATAGGGAATAAGGTCATGGTTCTATGAAACTCATAGTAGATCATTTGAGGTTCTTTATGCTGCTAAACTAATAGGCAGAAATAGTGTAACTGTACTGGCTGGGGCAACTGATCCTCCTCACCAAGAAGACATCAAGTTTCTGCTACAAAATGTTGGCAAGGAGGGCTACATATAGAACCCAGGGAATTCTTGTAGTCCTCCCATTTCCAGTAATAATGGTCAGTGGGAA